ACATGTCCCTGCCGTGTAGAGGGCCCATCTCTCTCTGCCTCCTTCCGCTGGCCGCACCCTCCTTGCCTCGCGGATTTGAGATCTACAAGAAGCTTTTTCACACCTTGGATGCTCCTGATGGGAGGCAGCCACGAGGTCAGAGGGACCCTCGCGGGCTGCACGCCTCCCTGGACAACGGGGAGAGGAACACATCGTTTGATGCTGAACAGCGGGGGAAGCACTTCATGTGGGAATTCTTTGGCTTCCTCTGTCAGAGAAAACAACAGATCCAATCCATCTCTCACTCAGGGTCTCCCCAGTGCCGCCCAGCTGCACAAGCAGCCGAGACCAGCTCCGGAGCGCCCGGTGCTGCCCCTGAGGGACGAGCACAGCTCAGCTGCCCGCCCTGGGCTCTGCCCACGCTCACCTGAGCCCTGCCTCGGGCACACACTGCAGGGGCCAGGTAGCCGGGGGCCGCAGCCTGCGCGGGAGGAGGCTGTGAAAGGCCACGTGCCCCTCACAGCTGGCTGCCTCCGAAACCCGTTGAAACACCCCAGCGCACCCCAGAAAGTCAAGCCTGTCAGAAAGGGGACACGGTGACCTCTCACAAACTGATTTACCAAAGAGTGGCATTGTGTAGTCCACATCACAATTGCCATACGGGAAAACGCGCCGAGGCAGGGACAACCCTGAGGGACCACAGCCAGCACATGGCACAGCAAAAGAAAACGAGTTAAAAGGAAAGAGCAGCAAATATAAACTGTTACACAGGAGTCCCCAATGTCCTGTGCTGCCTGTTGCCCTCACTAAAGGAACTGGGACAGACTGAACATAATCTACAGTGAAAATGGGGGAAGCTGACACTGAGATGGGGCACAGAAGAGGGAGGAAAGGTGTTTATCAAGGCATTTGATTGTTCAGGTTTCCTTTTCCTCAACATCTGAATCTGTGATTAAAAGGTCTTCACAGGTATAAAACTTCGTAAAAGTTGGCCATGCCCAGACTGTTTCGCTGGCAACACCGCCCCACCACTGCAAGCACCACTGGATCCCAGCACGAGCGATTTGTTAGACACAAGATCCGGGGCAAACAAGCAAGTTTACAAGTTTCTCAGGAGTAGCTGTGGCTCCGGAGACCTGGAAATGCACATCAGGGGAGGGAGGGAGCAGCTATTCCCAGGGAGAACTACCCCTAGACAGCAGCGAAGAGCAGCTCTCAGACAGACCTCCCTCCTCGGTCCCAAAGCCACAGATCTCCTCCCGCTACCGAGAGCTCGCAGCTGAAGGTCAGACAGGCCCATGCGATGGGAAGGACACGGACACGCTCTGATCCCAGATTTGCAGAAGGATTTCAGTAGGAGGAGATCTCTGGAGGTCACTCGGTCCAACTGCAAAGTTAGATCCAGCTCCACCGAGCCGACGCAGCCAAACTCCAACTACGGCGAGCTCGAGGCTCCCCAGTAACGTTTCCTGGCAACTGGGATGCAGGCAGGGTGGGAGCGCTCCCTGAGCCCTCCCAGGCTCCCACACGCTCGCAGGGGCGGATCGGCTCCCCCGCCACCCCCCGCCCGCGGC